CTTGGTTCTTTCGGTAAAGTCACATAGAATGAGAATGAAACAATAAAACAAAATAAGACAATAAAATTCTCACGACGTTTCGGTCACAACACAAGTGGCCTTCTTCAGGTGAAGAAACAGGTCTATCCAGGAGACAGAGCTTGAATGGACGCTGTCACGCAAGGACCGAGTCTTTTTTAAAGCTGTATGGGCGGAGTTGGATTAGCAGAGTTGGATTAGCATGCTACCAGCCCCCACCTCCGGGGTGGAGGAGGGAGGGGTGCTGGTAGGAAACAAACAACAATTTCAAAAGGTAAACAAGTGCCGCAGCCTAGGTGCGCTGCTGTGTACTGAGTTGCATTATGACTATGCTATAAACAGGACTACTATGTAATACAATATTATACCCTCCAATCTAAACTACATGATATAACATAGACAAATTCCACCTTTGAATTATACAATGCGTTACTTTACACTACCCTATACTTTAGACTATAAAATATTAGACTTGTAACATTATACTATGTCTTATTCTATGAATCCAACTATATACCACACTACTGTATATTCACTATGCAATTACGATGCTATATATTGCCTTATGAGTTATGTTAAACATTACAATGTTATACTATTAATTGTTATACTCATGTTATAAACCATACCATCTGAATAACTTCCAAATCGCTCTCCGTGGTGCTCGTAAAAAAAACCCGCCACTTTTTTCAAATTTTCTTGCTGTGGTTTTCACACCTGATGATGATTGCTTGTGTTGCAGTCGAAACGTCGTGAGAATTTTATTGTTTTAAATTTTTATTATTTTATTGTTTCCCTTCTACGTGACTTTACTGAAAGAACCAAGAATAAGATTTGAGATGCCTAATGCGACTTAATTATTTTGCACGTGTGCTATTGGTGTAAACGTGATGCGATAAGAAACACTCATGTAGACCTCCAGCAGCAAGCACTGCACCACACGGTTTCAGATGACACCACTATTGGCTCACCCTTTAATTGCAAGCCCAATAAGCCAATTCTAGATTTGAAGCTTTCGTGACTGCAAGGATCCATACTCTTTGGTTCTAGTCGGTAAAGTCACGTAAAAGTATAAAACAGCAAAAAATAAATAAATTCACGACGTTTTGGCCACAACACAAGTGGCCTTCATCAGGTGAAGGGACCAGACTGTCTCGAGGACAGCGCTGGAGTGAACACAGCCAAGCTCAGACCGTGACCTTTAAGCTTGTGTGAGAGGAATTAAGGTGCCTTGACAAAGGAATTAGCATAAAAATTAGCATTCAATTGGCGGACTCAGCATGGTGAACGGTGTAGAGGGGGTGAACATGTGTAGACCGGCGAGGGGGAGTTTACATATTGATGGTGTGAAAAGGGAATTTAAGCAGCTGCGAAAGTTTGGTATACCACTACTTGAAAAAATATACTGTACCATTGAAAATTAGTTTAATGTTTGGTTCGATTTAGAACAACTTTCCAATGGTTGCTTAATTTGAAACCATCTTCTCGGTTGAAATTGTGTCTGTGTTTGTAAATCTGAATTGCCTCGTGAACAAATCTCTGATAAAAACCCGTGGGTTTGCAAAGAACCTTGGTATCGGAGAAAATTATATCGTGATCACCCACAGCGTTATAACAGTGATCAGCTACGGCAGAAGATTTCGTTCTGCCGTGTTTCAAATCTGATTTGTGCTCGCGAATTCGGTCAGAGACATGTCGTTTCGTCTCCCCGATATAGCAGTCACTACAGGTGCAGATCAATCTGTAAACTCCGGGGTACTGTAAGTCAGGAATGACATCCTTCACGGAAGGGATCAGGTCACGGATTTTGTGTACTGTATTGAACCGGACCAGGATCTTGTGTTTGTTTAGAATTTTGGAGATCTTTTTAGTAACGCCTGCTATATATGCCAGTGTGATGGTTTTGATCGGAGTATCAAGTGGTTGTTTCTGTATGGAGGGAGAAACAGCTTGGCGGATGACACGGTCAGAGTATCCATTCCTTTTGAGGGCCAGATGCACATGTTTTAATCACTGGTCAAGTGGTGTTGGTCCGAAATGCAATGAGCCCTGTGGTATTACGTTTTGATGAGAGAATTCTTTTGCGTCGGGTGGTGGTGGGAATCAGGTATCAAGTAGGAATATGTGTGCGTGGGTTTCCTGTAGACAGAATGTCCCAATGAGCCATCAGGTCTCCTCTCAAACAGAACATCCAAGAATGGCAGCTTGCCATCTTTCTCCACTTCCATGGTGAATTTGATGACGGGGTGTCTGGAATTAATGTGGTCTAGGAAAAGGTTCAAAGCCGGGAGGCCATGTGGCCAAATGACGAAAGTGTCGTCTACATATGTCTTCAGCTGGAATAAACAGAATTGAATGAAAATACAGTTAAGCCTCTATTTGCGTTGCTTCTAATTATTCTGTTTTACTAGAACGTCGCCAACGCATTAGGGATCAGAATTCGACTTAAAATGCATTGATTCACAACAACGTTGTTTTGAGAAATGCAACGAAAGACAATGCAGTAATTTGCGGCGTGCTTGTGGTGTTGTGACGACCACTACGCAAAAGCGCCCCACGGCGAAAATTAAATTCCCAGTGCTTGACAATCTCCGCCACCGTCTCCCGTGAGTACTCTGTGTTGACTTATGTTATTTATTTAAACGAATTATATAACATCTTCTTGGGTATCTTATCTTTTTGTGGTATTTAATTTAATATTTTTGTTTAAACTTTTTGACAAAAAAGAATCCCGGAACATATCCTAAATATATATCATTCAACCAATGGTAAACTAGGTTTCGATTTACGTTGTTTTGCCGAACGTTGGGTTTTCCAGGGACGCATCCTCAAAGTAAATAAAGGCCTTCTGAAACCATCAACTCACTGCGCTTAAGAACCCGCTTCAATCACGGGCGTCTGAAACCCGGACTCAAACCCAGGCCCTCAACAGTGTGGGCTCAGCGCTCCGACACGGGATCAGCCTCCATAGCCACTCAGCACCTCCCCGACTTCAATTACTTTGACAAATGTATTTATTTATTTACTTATATCTCGGCCACGTAGACTCAGCGTAAATAATCAATTAACAGATTAATAGATTGCCTTGGAATGACACAAATGAGCGTAGTGATTTGAAACACATAATTGATTAGTATCATTATTCTGGTTAATTGCTCAATCCTAATACACATTGACAACAGGTTTATGAAGGTTGGCCAATGCGATATGCAATTACGTTTGCAAGTAAAAGCATACTTACAAAAGTAAACCAACAATTAACCTTAAAGGCAACGAAGCTCTGCAAACTGGGTGGATGGACAATATGCTTTCTTAATGTTTGCTTTTTAAAGAAAATTACAATTAATAAAACATATGAGGAAGACTGTTTTTTTTCATATTTGACTTCGTTAAAGAATAATAATAATTTAGCAGCTAAACTATGATGCTGATCACGGTACATTGTCATTTGGAGGCAGCCTTGAAAATGATGGTTATAATTTAGGGCCATTGCTTTTCATGTTCCTAACATTGTGGGCACTGTGCTCAGTGTGGAATTCTCTACGGGCAATTGCAGGCCTCTTACTGGATTCACACGCGCATCCATGCGGAGAAGAATAAACATCTAGACGGGGGAAACATCTGCTGATCTTTCTGGGGGTAATCTATCCAACAACATTGTTCTCAAGAGTATTGCTTGGTAGAGTTTTGATAACCGTAGTTGTCTAATGACTATATTTAAAAATAGTTGCTTCTGAGTTACTTAGCAGCCGTGGGCCAAATCTGCTGCAATGAAACACTTGGTGAATTGGTGATCCTGCCGATGATTATCATGATGATAATTAACAAACGTGTAATATATTTGGTCGTGTTGCTCCACTTCGTGACAAATCCCTTAAATGAAAGAATGTTACTTTAGGAACGGGCTCGTTTAAAATCCTTCAGCACCATCACATTTCTCCCGTGCCTTCACGTGCGCAACGTATTGCAGGCTGCGCACACAGACCCCTAACCTCGGGACGGCAGGCCGAGGGCCGCCCTGGCCGCGCACGAGCGAAGCCGATCCCGGTCGGCTTCGTCGGCTTCGTCGGCGTCGTCGTCGTCGTGGTTATCCCGGCTCAGCGTCGTGCGCAGGGCCGGGTGGACTGGCGGTGTCCGCGAGGAGCGTTGTGCCCTGCCAGGGTCACTGTGACTAATTCAGACGACACCCAAACCCATCATCATCATTATCGGGCTACAGGACTGCTGTATCAGCAGTTGACAGCAAAATAATAAAATCACTGCAGCCAGGACGGCACGCGTCATCAGGCGCTGACTGCAAATACGGTGTTTGCAAGTTTAGCACAAGAAGAACGCATTGAATATATATATAGTTTAACTCATTGCTCATTCGCAGGAAATACATATTATATTGTGGTACACGTCTGAAATCAAAGCCTCTCTTGTGTCGGTTTGGATAAAATTTGAAAATCGACAAAGTTGTTCTAGCCCTGGAGAATAACACCCCCAAATAATATAGCAAGCAACGTGACAGTGGGAAATACAGTTATAAACCACGACAGTCGTTGATGCCTTTTGGAAAAAAATCTTAAACGCGTGTTTAATAGTCTGCATTTCACCCATTGATATACAGCGAATTTCTAATTTATTATGCCACTAACCGGTACTCAGGCCAATTAAATACATGCTCACTCTTGGTAGCTAATTCTCTCCGCCTTCATTACAATGAGCACAGGAGCCACAGATATAAGTCTCTTTTGCTAGTGTTTGACTTTTATTCAAACATTTTATTGGCTTTTCCTCTGCTGGCAATAATGTCTCACGGACATACATCTTCGCGTCGCCACCGTGTCTTGCTGTAGAAAATAACCATCCATATTTGCACCAGGGCTAAGGTTGTTAAGTTTAAATCTGTACAACTTAACATAACAATGTTCAGCCTTATATTCCACGTCTAGATGATGCCTCCGCAGGCCAAAGCGTCGTTTTGAGTATGCTTCGCCATGTCTGGTGAGTCTAAGTTTGTGGACTCGGTGTGGGAGTGTGGTTGGGTGATCTCCTGCACTCCCACTCCAGCCCGCGATGAAGCTGATCCGATACAAGTCCCACCATGTGCTATGTCACGCCATTATGTCACAAAGCCGCTGAATCAGAGACAAACTCTACAGCGACACCCTCAATTGTTCATTGCTTAAAACATCAATCTGTTTGACAATTGTTATCAACCAGTAGCAATATTAACTTGTGTATAGCTGGCTTTCAGTCATGCATTCCGATGTCCTTACATATGCAACTTCTTTGATTAATCTACTGTAAGATGATAGCCTATCCCACGCCGTCTGAATCATTGGGACTGCTTAACCATTACTTCGCCACGGTGGTCAGTGAAGCAGGTTGTTGAAGGGAGAACCAGGAGCGGTGTAGACATCACTCGCCACTGTTGTTAATACAGCCCAAACTATGGACCTTATAGTGAATCACTGTCGTCAGCACTCTTCAACGGAGGAGGAGGAACAGCCAAACGACACGGACTCTCTCCTGAAACACTCTCGTGGCCAGCAAACCTCGAGATCGGCAATTAGCTCGGGAACACATTGGTTCCATTACACCACGCAAGAATAGAATGCTTTAATAATTTTTGATGAAACTGAACATTGATAGCACATCACATTTCACAAATGCACGTTTCACAATGCAAAGTAATTCAATACATTTTCACATGTATGCATTGCATACAAGTGTATTTAAGCATTACTTTGCAATACGTGTGAAAAATCCGCGTACCGTACTGTATGTGAACATGTATGTGATTAAGTCAATATGGAATTCTTTCTCAAATGATATTTAAAAACAAATCATCGCCATTGCAACAATAAACCAATATCATTCGCCCGACACCAGACTCTGCACGGTGGGCGAGACCACTCCGCCTCCAAAGAGGGCAGCATCGGAGAGATCCACCACGAGATCCATCACGAGATCCACCACGAGATCCACCACGAGATCCATCACGAGATCCACCACGAGATCCACCACGAGATCCATCACGAGATCCACCACGAGATCCATCACGAGATCCACCACGAGATCCACCACGAGATCCATCACGAGATCCACCACGAGATCCACCACGAGATCCACCACGAGATCCATCACGAAATCTATCACGAGATCCACCACGAGATCCACCACGAGATCCATCACGAAATCTATCACGAGATCCACCACGAGATCCACCACGAGATCCATCACGAGATCTACCACGTGATCCAACACGAGATCCATCACGAGATCCATCACGAGATCCATCACGAGATCCACCACGAGATCCATCACGAGATCCATCACGTGATCCATCACGAGATCCACCACGAGATCCACCACGAGATCCACCACGTGATCCATCACGAGATCCACCACGAGATCCACCACGAGATCCATCACGAGATCCACCAGGAGATCCATCACGAGATCCACAACGAGATCCACTACGAGATCCATCACGAGATTCACCACGAGATCCACCACGTGATCTACCACGAGATCCATCACGAGATCCACCACGAGATCCATCACGTGATTCATCACGAGATCCACCACGAGATTCATCACGTGATCTACCACGAGATCCATCACGAGATTCACCACGAGATCCATCACGAGATCTACCACGAGATACATCACGAGATCCACCACGTGATCCACCACGAGATCCACCACGAGATTCATCACGAGATCCATCACGAGATCCACCACGTGATCCACCACGAGATCCACCACGAGATCCATCATGAGATCCACCACGTGATCCACCACGAGATTCACCACGAGATCCATCACGAGATCCACCACGAGATCCACCACGTGATCCACCACGTGATCCACCACGAGATCCACCACGAGATTCATCACGAGATCCACCACGTGATCCACCACGTGATCCACCACGAGATCCACCACGTGATCCACCACGAGATCCACCACGAGATCCACCACGTGATCCAACACGAGATCCACCACGAAACTCATCACGAGACTGCTTGACGCTTTGCAGGGTCACTCCTCTCTCCACGAGACGTCTGCCACACGCTGCTGCGGAGACGAGAACACCGTTCACGCCGCGCATGCACGCGACGAACGCGCTCTCAGAGCTGGGTATAGATGCAAATTAGGAGCAATCGCGAAGTTTGTACCATGCCTCGTTTGTGCAATCATCGCAATGCGCCTCTAAAACCGTGACACTCGCTACACACAACAATCAACGAGGGCCTTCCAGACGCCTCCCACTTCTGCATTTACTTTTTCTGACTTTGCTTTGGCACGTGTACGTAGTCGCCAGCTGAGTGTGTTACGCGGACAAATGGCAGAGCTGTACGAGGACAGATCCAATAAACGCAAACGGCGATGCTCCGCGGGCAAACGCTGCTGTTGACAGTGGGGAAAATGACCAAAGTGTTGATGTGAAAACCACTCTCTTTCTTGTATGTGTTGAATTTCTTTCGCACCGTACGTAGCCAACCGTGCTAATCGGAGGTGTGGGTGGAAGGACAACAAACTCAACACAAAAAGCAGTTTTAAAGAAATTAGTCTTAAATCTATATTCAAAAGTACATAGCTCCAGTGACCTCCTTTCTTGACTCGAGTCATTGTCGGCAGAATTTCAACGTGCAGACAATCGCGTAAAAGTAATACTTAAATTTTTACTTTTTAGTTTCACAATTTTATAACATTACTTTCCGACAGGTGTAGCATTCGCGCGAATGCTGGGCGCAAGAGATGCTTCGCTGTGGTTAGCCATATGATGTCAGAGCGCCGCGCTATAGTGCACGTTTTTAATGTCAAAACTGCATTGCTTCGCAATTCTTTGTTGAGAGATGAGGCCAATTGTTATAGCATCCCTAATTTATTATTAATCGGCAATGAATGTTGTGACATTTTTCCAAATCCAATACCAATTTCTGTGTAATTGCCATAATGAGATATACTTGCACAAAATTAGTGCCCATTTTCACTCGCGTCTGTTTATACTGCATCCGCTGATTGGCCATTGGTCCACTTACAGACTGCAGCTTTTGTTGTGTAGCATTGCGCAAAATGTCAGAATGCAGCTCGTTCCAACGTCCTTCATATAATCAAATCACAGCCCTTTAAGTTACTATTTTGTGTTTCCAAGGGAGAGCTGGGTTGATACACGCTCAAAAAAATAATGCTCTGATTTTCAGTTGCGGATTATTTTCAAGTTCTGGATTTGGACTGTGACACAGACATATTGGCCTTCTTTTGCAAATATTGGTAATGCCTCAGAAATTACTAAATCTTACTGCAGGGGCTTCGTACCGCTCCAGAAAATAAAACCCAAGAAGTTGCTCCGAACACTTTTTTTTTTATCTACAGAAGGCAGCATAACTCCGGATAGAAAACATTTCTCTTCACCTCGCAGATTTGGTATCCCAAGTCCTGAAGAATATCCAACAATATATAATGCATTTTCTCGTTCACGAAACTTATTTATTAAAAGCCTCGTGTAAACGTGACAAAGCGACAACAGCTACTTACCGTAAACCATGTTCAGGGTTGAGAAGTTGCAATACTATGGAGCACCCTGCTCTTACCTCACTGCACCGGATAGAATTCAACGCAGTCAGGGTGATTGATGATCCAGCGCTCACTGATTCACTCCATTCACTCGCTCACCCACCAGTAGTTAGTTGCCAAAATGTCACTCTTCCATTGCTATTACCATGGTTACTCTTCACTCATTGATTCCTCTCCATCGATGTTGAGAACTCGGTCTAGAAGACTGGCTGATTCATCTCAACAATATTGTGTCCCACAACCACACTGCTGGTCACTTAAAAGGAATTCACCTCCTCATCCACTCACTCAACCACGACACACTGCAGATCAAAACACACTCACCTACTCACTCATCCACGCACTTAACCACCACACTACAGATCATAACTCACTCACCCATTCACTCAACCACCAGACACTACAGGTCACAACTCACTGAACCACCACACTGCAGGTCACAACACACTCACCTACTCACTCACCCACTCACTCAACCACCACACTGCAGGTCACAACCCACTCACCCATTCACTCAACCACCAGACACTGCAGGTCACAACACACTCACCTACTCACTCACCCACTCACTCAACCACCACGCTGCAGGTCACAACTCACTGAACCACCACACTGCAGGTCACAACACACTCACCTACTCACTCACCCACTCACTCAACCACCACACTGCAGGTCACAACCCACTCACCCATTCACTCAACCACCAGACACTGCAGGTCACAACACATTGCTCCGCTTTGAAAATTATTTCCATTGCCTCTTTCACCCAGGCTCAATGTAAGAAATGCTCTCACTGTTATCCATCACCACTTTGTGAGTGCTGTTAGTTTCTGGCCGGTTGACGTATTTGGGCCTTTGTTTAGCAACTTTGTTTCAAACAAAAACGAAGTCGCCACGGCCCTCGGGGTGACTTTGCAGGCACCCTGCGCCGGGCGGAGACGCAGAGGGGGCCACGTGGCGCGGCGGCTCCAGACGGCCGCGCGTAAATATTACATGGAGCGGCGGGGTCAAGGGGAGCGTAGGAGCGAAACAAATGACACTTTAATAAATCGTGATGCATATTTAATGAGGGCCGGATAAAATATTTAATTAATGCTGACAATAACATAATGTAGACTCACAAATATTAACGATCGTGAACGTGGCGTGGGGGGGGGGGAGCGATGGTCGCCAGGAGCTCGGGAGCGGCCGTCAGGGCCGCTGCGCTCCCCAAGTCAAGCCACAGGTTCTGCTGGCCCCACGCTGACTCCCAACCACGGCGAACATCAGTGGCGAGTGACGTCAGAACCTGGGCTGGGCCACCCCCGCCTCTTTGGCCAACCCGTACGAACCGGCGTGGCGTAGTATGGCGAAGTATGGTGAGGTATGGTAAAGTATGGTGAAGTATGGTAAAATATGGTGGAGTATGGTAAAGTATGGCGAAGTATGGTGAAGTATGGTGAAGTATGGTAAAGTATGGTGAAGTATGGTAAAGTATGGTGAAGTATGGTAAAGTATGGTAAAGTATGGCGAAGTATGGTGAAGTATGGTAAAGTATGGTGAAGTATGGTAAAGTATGGTGAAGTATGGTAAAGTATGGTGAAGTGTGGTGAAGTATGGTGAAGTATGGTAAAGTATGGCGAAGTATGGTGAAGTATGGTAAAGGATGGTGAAGTATGGTAAAGTATGGTGAAGTATGGTGAAGTATGCATGGGGAGGCCTTCATCCAACAGTGGATTGACAAATGGCTCTACGGCACATTTATTTAATTATCATGCCTCGTTTTTAGGAATCCAGTAAAAAAGTACGGGGGCGCGTTAATTACACACAAAAAGTGAATTTCATGTATATTATGTTGGATTATATTATGATATATCGGTGTATTTGCGGCAGCGCGAGGGATTTTTGCTCCTCTCGCCCGTGAGCGACGACTCTCAGAGTCCAGCTCGAGGTTTCCAGCCATCGACGCCAAACCCTGAGAGGTTTCGCTGCGGATGGCAGCGAGCTCAGCCTCACACTTGCATCAGCTGACGGTTCATTTGGAACCCCAATTGCTCCATCAGACTTTTGTTTTTCGACATGGGGGAGGGGGGGGGGATTTTATTTGGCTCCAAATCAATTGGTTGAGGACATTTCTGCTTATAAATATACGAGCCTTTTTGCCCATCCAAGGACGGGTGTGTTGCAGTAAATCTGAAACTTGCAAGCGAAAAGCAGACCGCGAAGTGATATTCATTGCATCCATTCGTGTGCAATTTGTAAGTGCGCGGTGACACAGACTTATTTAATTTTAAGGTTATAATCCCTTGCTCATCACGACGTCCTTTTTACTTTGATGTCTCAACAGCGTTACGGAGATCACGTGACGTGAGGGTTCTGGCTTTGTAGTGAGGGTTGTAAGTTGACGGCGAGGAGGGGGGAGGAGGCGCCTCGCCCCCCATGTGGAGTGACGTCACCCGCTAATTATTATGAATTGGGGGGGGGTGTCCATTTGGAGGACGTCACCTTATAATGATTAATAAGGAGGGCTGTTCGATGTGGAGTGACGTCACTTGCACATGATTATTAGTGAGGGGGGTTCTCCATGCGGAGTGACGTCACCCTCTCATGATTATTAATGAGGGGGGCTGGTCGATGTGGAGTGACGTCACGAGCGTTAAGGACATTCCTGGATGATTCACTATGTAACACAAATTTGTTCCTGGGTTGTAAGTGTTATTTTCTAATTGCTTATGTCTCAAAAGTATAGAACATGGTTGTTATTTCCCACAAACTATGCTTTTGTGACCAGGACTTTACGTGAAGGAATGACACAAATGCACACCACGTTTTCTCATTGAAAATAGGTACATTTCAAAATATCACTCTCCTGGTCACAAAAGCAATTAGGACATGACGCTTATTACCCAGGAAGAAAAAAAATGAAATCATTTTGTTACACAGTGAATTATAGTAGGTATACGGAACTTGACGCAGATGCCAGCGTACACATAAAGAGTGTATTAAGGCCATATGAGGCCCTGTCGGTCGTGGGGGTTCTTTGACCATACTTCACCACGATGGTCAATGCAGTTTGGTAGAGAGAGTGTGAGCGGAGCAGGATCAGTTCAGACATGGCTCGCCGCCGACGTTGCTGACAGGCAGGAATCACCTCGCCAGGTGCACAGTGCTGTCTATGGGCCACTGCACCACCACTCGCGCACTGCGCTCTGTGCTATTCCAGGTTTAAAAAATGTTGCAACCGCGTTTCATAAAAAAACCGCCCCACGACGGATTAAAAATACATCACCACCATCTCGTTTCCTCGTACAATTACTCAGGTCTCCCTGGCTAAGGAGATATACATCTCCATGGGCTGTCACCTATTCCTAAATAAAGGAAACGTAATTGAATTTGCAGCAGCTAGGGATTCAATACTGCTTACTGTGCAAACAGCTACAGCTCTCTGTAAAAGAGAATTTTAATGATCT